TTGATTGCTATATCAATACACTAAAAAACTACTATTTGCATGACCGCAGCTGTTTGTATAGTTACTTTCTGTGCTCATTCAATGTGGCAACTGAACCGAACGGGAAAAAGCGAGAGCTGGGGACTGTCACAACACCTGTGCTCAATAATTGAAGTCAATGTTTGGCAAGTGCATATGAGAGCCGAAGAAGTTGCTCTGGGCCTCCTTTACGATTTTACTTTCCAAAGAAAACTGTCTCACATTGCACTTTTTCTTGATCACTTTGCTTTTTGTGTGCGCTTCATTGCGTTTTTCTTTTGCCGTTCACTTGACTGAACTTCTCATTTTCTTTCATTGTTGGCCAGAAATTGCTTTTGGAATTGAATTAAAGCGTTCTTTAATAATTTATTTGTTTTGCAACTTTAATGCATTTCCGTATTGAGTTATTTTGAATGCAAACGGCGCTTGTCGTTATGATAAGTCACGACTCTGTAATTAATATCGCAAAAATGTTCAAGTGGATTTCGCAATCGAGTTCGTGACCAGATTCGTTAATGATTTTAATGACGGAATGCTGAAAGGATTTATTGAGTTCGACTAGATAAATATTAACGAGGACATTTCAGTTCAAGGATAACGCGGAATATCTGTAAGCCCATTTGCATACCAGCTATACAAAAACCATTAAGTGATTTCTCGTGGTGGCACTATTAAGTTATTACCCAATAAGCCAAACAAATTTTGTTAATACATTGAAATTGTGAAAAATTGTGCATCATTGCAGTGGATGCTTGAGGATAAGCCATTACGGGCACACATGCACATGCAATGAGCACACATGATTTGAGGCAAATCGTCGTCTTTCCTGTGAAGATTAAGAGGGCCAAGTCTTGTCCTTTACCCCCGAGCACTTAAAATGTTTATAAATGGCTAAGAAACGATGCCTGCACCCTGTCTGTACTCACACACTTACACACAAGCACACACACTCTGACATAACGCACCCACACATGCCCACAGTTCAAAGTTGCCATTGCCACTCATGACGTCGTATCTAGTTTCTCTGCTCCTCTTCGCTTTTATACCCTTGAAGTGGGTATTATATTATTGCTAGAACACTTTTCAACCAATACAGCTATATTTATGAGTACTATCAAGTTTCTTAAGTATATAACTGTTTTCAAACAAGCTTCCAACTATTTAAAAATATAAAAATTTCTACAGATTTGTTTAAGATTATTTAAGAATCTAATTTAAATATATTTTAATTTAAAATATTTATTTAATTTAAAATTCTGGGAGCATTGATTTTAAACTATGTAAGTTAAACCTTTTAGATATAACTTATATTCAAATTTGATTAAGCAATCTATTCATTTTGTAGCGCTATTAGCAGAAAATTATTTGTTTATTTATTTTTTATAATCCATAAGGTTTAACCAAAAGCTTTAATAACTTTTGAAGTAATAACATGTATTCTGTCAAATAAAATAATTTTGCTAAAGGGTATTAAACGCTTTTACCTCTTAACTAGATATACAACCTTGTTTTTCATATTTTCTCCTTTTTTGCAATGGCAGTACTTTCCTGTCATTACCACTTTTTTCCCTTTTTTTTGAGCAACTTGCGTCTCTTAGTTTTTTACAGGTCCCTTTTTCTTCATTTTGCTGTCACTCGCATGCAAAATTGAAATCATCTACGTCGTCATCAGTCGCTGTCTGCTTGAGTTTGGTTTAGTTTTGGTTGTATAGTGGGGTATACAGTGGGGTATATAGAGGGGTATACGATGCGGGTTCGGGTTGGACGGTTGTTCAAATCACAACTAAGCTGGGAAGATGATATAACTGGCTTAAGTGATAGTAGCGCACTGGCAATGTGGAGGAACTTTTCCACGGAGGTCTCAAGATTATTGCTCTGCTCAACGTTTTTCGTGTTTCCCTTTGGTCCAACTTTTGGCCTAACAACCAAATAACATGCCGAGCTGCATTTGGACCGACGTGCTCGACAGACCATAGCCACGCCCCCTGCCTTTTTCTCCGCCCCCGCCCCTTTGGAAACATTTTTTGTTCGCATTTCGTTTTTAAACTAGGCCAGATGCATAAATCTCTGCAAGTGACTCACCAAAGAAGGAAAGCTGAAAGGAAATTAAGTTGGCTGACATTTCGGTGGTGCATCAGCCTGATTGCATAATAAATGATGATTATTTAGCATTCGTTGTGACTGAAATTCCACTGCTCCAAGTTGACCCTATGTCAGCCTTCTGTTTGTCCCCAGTGATTATACCCAAATTATCTATATTAGCCACATTACTTAACATAATGAGCTTGCCCTTTCAACACCCCTTTTGGTGCTTGTGGGGTTACTTATCCAGGAGGACATAAGCGGCACAAATTATGCGCAGACAATGGCAAAGAAAACGCAGGGTGTTCACGTTTAGATGCCACACATAATGCGAGGTGTCATCTCATTTTAACAAGACAACATTTTCCGCAAAGTGAAGCGGGAATACTACACGAAACAAATGAGTCAAAGATTTTTAAAAAATATGATGTTGTTTTGATTTAAGTAATGGCTCTAATAAAATAAGCAAATCCGTAGGAAGCAAAAGGCTTATAATGCATAATTCCTGTTTTATACCTTTTTCGCGTTTTGAATAATGTCTTGCCAAAATTTAAAAACAGAAAAAATTTGGCTGTAAATGCCATTTCATTGGACATTTTATGATGGATCCAACGACTTTTTTAAACGCATTTTTTTGTGGCGTGTGGCAAAGTGCAGTGGAAGGTCCATTGCAGTGGTCACTATCGCCGGACCTGTTACATAAACAATGAGCTGCCAATGTGCAGTGCCAGCTGCAGACGTCCTGGCTATGTGATGCCATGGTGGCTATGGCTATAGCTACCAATGGGCGATAAGCACGCAAAGTCGTTAAGTGCTGCAGAATGGCTTAGCCGGGTCTCAGGACCCGGATTGTTGCACATCGCCCTCCCGGCCACTGCCATTGCCACTGCCACACCACTCGGCTCAATCGATTAAGCGGTTTAAGTGCCCCATAAGCTGCCTCGGCTGACTGCCTTCCGTTGCTTCTTCTGATGCTATTGCTCCTGCGTCCTGCTTTCTTGTGGCCTCCTAGTGTGAACACGTGTTTTGTATTGCCTATCCCCGGGCGCAGTGGTTGCATGTTGCAGGCTGGTAGTTGCTGGTGGCAGGTGCATTGTTGTGCGGCTGCGACCAAAGAATAACACTCACTCACACACGCTGCACACCCCAGGGTAATTATTGAACATGTTTATTATTTGCTTAATGGGCCGCAAAGCGATGGTGTTACCTACTAGGGAGCGCCTTATTACACTCGTTTCTCTTAGAGTAAAGGGGTATATTGTATATGCTGAGAACATGTAACAGGTGGAAAAAAGTCAAATAAGTTATATATATTTTTATTGGGGATCAAAGATTTGAGAGATGGTAAAGGTCAGTTATTGGGCGGTATATGTGAATTCGGTCAAAATCAATCGTCACACCAAACACTTTCCAAATCGAACCACTCTTTTAGAAAATTTTTTTGAATTATGATGATATAGCATGTTTTAGAAACGGAGTTTAAATATTTGAGAGAGAGGAAGAGAGCTTGTTGTGTTGACCCATACGTTCGGCAGATGGCGCCACCTAAGTAATTGGTATATAATAGTTGGGGCCTTCTTCCTTATTTTTCAATTAACATGATATTTTAAAGGGGGTGTTTCGAGGGAACAGCTTATGTCTTTTCTCCAGGACCCGGCGACTGTCTTTGTCATGTGTGTCCTCTACTTATGTTGTCGTAAACTTTAATGCCAGCCATATGTACATATATGCTAAAAACCAGCTTGTGCAGTAACTCTGGTCTGCAAGTACATTAGGTTGTACGATGTGTTTTATGTTTATTTATTCGTAGCCAGGCAGAAGCATAAGGCCCCCTTGTTGAACTCACGAAACCGTCGTTAAAAGAGCATCAAAAGTGGCTTAGACCGCAAAACTTTGTTTCCGAATGTGTGAGTGAAATATATAATTTCTTCAGGGCATTCTTACGAAATTACCTAGACATCAAACTGAAAAGCTATTTTAGGGTTTGATTGAAATCTGCTTGGGTCAGCGTGACTCTTAGAATAACCAACTTATGACCTACTTATCATGAAAGGCACTCATATTGATACTGGTTAACTTAATGGCAAATCATTTTGCCAAAAAACAAAGGTTTCTACTGCGTCCTAATCCTAATACCATCAAGGTCGTAAAAATGTTTATGTTCATACCAATACCTCTGTGTTGTGGTTATTTAAAGTCTAGGTCTTCCTAGACTTTTTGGTCCTCCGTTGCTCCTTAAATTGTTAAATACGCCACCAATTGCGAAAATGATACAGCTTTATGTAATTTATGTTTTCCAACTCGGTTATGTCGGCATAAATTAAATCAAAATTAAATGAAAACTAAATAGCAGAAGGTTAATCAAAGTTTTTTATTGTGATGTTTTAATGCAATAAACAATTTTGTTAGTACAGAAATTCAAGATAATTAAGCATTTTAATCAGAATAATCAAATGCTGAATAATCTAGCATTTTAATCCAAATAATCGAGTTTGTTGAAATCGATTTCAGCATTAAAGTCATCAGGCGTATTTAAAAAGATAATTCGACAAAAATATTGCTGAAATTTATGACATAAAATTAAAATCGAATTTATTACATTAACGGCTATTAAATTGGTGATAAAAACGAAATATACAAATATATATTAAAATTGAATAAATTTTACTATAATGGAGTTCTCATCCTGATTATTTTTATTTGATATTGATTACGATAGCCATAAAATGGCATTCCAAATGGCATTCATACGCCCTGTTGACCAACAGATTTTTTTAAATTGACAGTACACATGCATTTGCACTCGGTTGATATTTAATTAAGCTGTCATGAATATGAATCCAAATGCCACAATTACGAAATGTTATTTTATATTTCCTGTTCTGCTTGTTTTTTTTCAGAAATATGTTAGTGAGTTGTCGACTGTTCGCGATTGTGCTACCGAGTGCCAGGAGAAAGGTGAGTTATTTGCCATTTTTTGTTAACCACAAGTTAATTGAACTATGTAATTGGGCATGATGAAAATTTATTGTGAAAAGCCGCCAAATTAATTAGCCTGAGTTAATTATGAATTATTGTTCTAATTATTTTATTAGAAATTTGGGAGACACAAACGTACTGCTGCACCGAGGATGGCTGTAATTCCGGCACCCATTTGGCATACTCCGTCGTCCTGTTGACCCTGCCCATACTTTCAATGGCCTGGCCCTCAATCATCGATCTTTGGAACACGCGACGTTAAGTGGGTCCTAAGATGAACCGATTTCTCTTTGCTTGATTTCTTTAATTTTTATTATTATTTAGCTGCAAGAAAATGTATAAAATTTCAACCCTTAGCATTTATTTTTAGTTTACAAACTAAATTAAAAATACAAACAAAATTCTGTGAACGGGACCTAATCTAACTAAGAAGCGAAAATTTACCATTTCAATTTTTCTTTTCTGTAATTTGTAATCTCATGCAATTTCTGATTATATGCGTATGGAAATATATACATTTTTAAAAACATGTTTGGTACTTATAGTTTGAGCAATGACTTTATAATACACTATGTTATGGAGTCTTTGGTTTGAGGCTTTGTATTTCTGACTGTCTTCCCAAAAAAAAAACACAAACAGTGTTGGTTAATTATAACGAGGTGTCTAAGATCATTCGAAAGCTTAACTAATTCATATTCACAAGAAATAACAATTGCAATGACAACTTAAATCGTGTTAAAAAAATATTTAAAAGCAAAACGAATTATAAAATTATAAAAAAAATAGTATATGTAAGACTATGCCAGCTGTCAAAAGTACATAAGATATCGCAATCATAAAAGAATGTCGCCGAATTCGAGTTGATGCATTTCATGAACATACTATTTAAAGTAGACCTAAGGTTAAATAACGAAAGTAGAAATTAGATACTTAGCATTCTGCATCCCTTGACACTTGAAAAAAAAAATCACTTTTCAAGAGAGATAGAGGTTTGATTTCTAATTTTCACAAGGGTCCGCAAATATTACGCAAATGTCAAAGTCACAGTGAGTTTAATTTGGGGTCTGTGACTTTGCACTTTGACACAGTAATATTTGCTGGAAGTCTGTTCATTATATGTTGTTCTCTAAGCAAGTAACGTCTAGTAAAAAGTTGTTGATTTCTGTTCGAAAAAAAGCAAAATTAATGTTTGTTAAATACACTTGTGAACATAAGCTTAAGTTCGAACGAATTATGATAATAAAAGCGAACACTTAAGAAATTCGAAGAAGTTTTCACTCCACTGTTCATGAGATTCTAAATGATACAATGATACAAATCAGTTGATACTCACTAATAAAATACTTGTAGCAAAAGTCTAGCTCAGATAGAAACCATTCGGCATAACGTAGGTAAAAAACTAATTAATTAATAGAACTATTTAGAATTATCGAGAGTTTAGTGAACCCAAGTGAATTAACATAAAAGTTCTTAACGATTTTCTTATAGAGCACTTACGCGATTCCATTTTTAATTATTTACAATAATAATATTTTGAACGATTAATACTTATAAACATATAAGAAGAACAATTCATACGATATATACCTAAAAAAAAACTTAGAATTTAGGTCTAAGCGCTTTCACTATATTAAAGCAAACGAAATGTGTGAAATATGCAAATGTTAAAAGTTAGTTCCTCGATACCAAAGCAGCTTATATACTCGTATTAAAAGCTCACATTTGAATAATTTGCATATGATTAAAATGCCTCATCCATTTAATAAAACGTGTAAATCGAATTTTCATTTAATTATATTACAACCACAAATTTTCTCTGACATTTTGCCAACTAAAATGTCTGGCGATCTGTCTGCTTTGGCTACATTTAATGCAATCATTTAATTTTAAATTCTCATCGAACACGAAACGAGAAAATTTCAATGGCAATTACAACAACACTATTAAAAATTGTATGTATATGGTATATGTATTTCCAATAAAATTTTAATTTAAATTTTTAGTAACAAACTTCAATAAAACAGGCAAAAAATAAACCAATTTAGTTTTCTTTCTTGTTTTCAAACCAAACAATCGAATTAATGAGCCCCATTGCTCAAGGGCCACCACTCAGCAACTAGAGCGAAGTGCCTCTGACAAACTGGGCCAAAAAAGAGTAATGGCCAAGTTAAGCCTTGGCTGAGAAATATTCCGGAGTTCAACAGGGCAATAAATATTTGTCTCCCCGGGAGTTTATTGCCTGAATTGAGGGCTTTTCTGCGCTCTTTTCTGCCGACACTTTGGACAAAAACTACGAAACTAAGAAAGAAGGACGAAATTATTTATGGCTCATATATATTATTTGCTTGAAATTCAGAAGTGGTGAATTCATCTAATAACACTATTATTCATGGCACATGATTTTTGTTTTCTTTATTTTCATTTATTCAAAATATGGATTTTAATATCGATCCCAGGACGATGTGGAAAATTGTATACATTGTAAAATTTTTTCATTTTTTATAAAAGGTAACATAATGATTTTTTGTGGAAATTAGCCGAAAGCCAAAATCAGCTAGGAATGAAAATCGATTGAAAATATGTGGACAAATTTACCGAGGTATTATTTTCGCACATTAAACCATTTTAGTGTTTTTAAGCAGAAAAGAAAACACAAAACTTGATGAGATTTTTTATACTTGTGGAAATAAAACATGAATTCAGAAGCCAAAGCGAAAATAAACAACATCGCATGGTTATTTGAATTTCATGATGTCGGTAACCTGTTCCCTTTAATATCAGCAATATTTAAATTTGGCTCTGTTATTTTATGTGCCCCTAAAACAGAAAAATATAAACAAGACCGAGCTGTGCTAATGTTTGTTCGCTTCAGCATCCAGTAATCCGGATAAGCCACGCATTTTACATTTTACATATCGTCGTGACAAATAAAATCTTTTTTTCCCGCCATCAAGGGGCGGAAGGGGCATGGTCGAGCTTAGGGCGCGGCTTAACAAACAAATTCGTGATGTAACAATTGAAAGCACAATGAATGCGCTGTGTGTGTGTCAGCAAAGGATTTGCCGCAATTACGCGGCACAGTGAGTGAAAAAAGGGACGGCCATAAATATCAAAATAAATGCAGCCTTGGTGCTGTCAAATGGATTAATTTCTCAAGTTGAGCCTCAAAGTAGGAAACTCGAAGTGCAGTGCGCTTGATTAAGCGGCAGCATTGTTTTTGCTCCTTTATTTGTGGCCACCGACTATTCCATCGGCTGACTATTCAAGAATCCCCTGAGGTATTTCCCCAAGACACGAGCTGGGCCAAAGTCAAAGGAATAAAATCGTTTCATGAATTCCTGGCCGCAATAGTTGGCCGTCTGAAGCATTTGGCCACGATTTGCCTGGCTGCCAGGATATAGGACTCGCACCAGAATCCACTGAAGCATCATATGCATCCTCAAGACCTTTTTGAGTCATTTACTTGTTTTTCGTTTTGTTGTATGGCGAATAGAATGTCTATTTAAGTATACATTTTGGGATGGTTTAAGATTCGGCCAGCAGAGTCTACTTAAAATATTTGTTAGTCAATTCATTATTTGGGATGGGAAAAGTCATGAAAAAATCCGCGGTAAAATGAAATTAATTATCTGATTCCTTTTTATAGGAAATAAATAATAACAAGGTCATTTCTGTTTAATAAATGGGTTTACAAAAAATAAATTAAATTTTTCAGGCCAATTTTAAAATAATAAGACATGCTACTTAAATTGGGCCAGCAGTGTCTACTTAAAATATTTGTTAGTTAATTTATAATGAACATGAGATTAAAATAATGTAACCCACTTCTCATTCTCTTTTGCTTAAAGATTTGCAATAACTGTGAGCAATGGTTGTCTTAAATAGTTGATAATTAATTTAACATTTCAATGCAGTTGAGAATGAAATAATGTTGACAATTTTTGCAATCACAATCAGCACAGAGCGAACAAAAGGCAGCAAACACATACCACACCCACACAGCATTAATTTATGACACTTTGTGTGCCAGGCAACCAAACAACCCAACAAACACCAGCATTTTTGTGGGCGTGTTGCCTGCAGACGTTGCCTGTTTTCGGTGTCCTTGGGGCCAACAGCCAACATGCCAACATATTAAATGCCAGGCTCCTCCAGTTAGGAGCCAGTCAAGCCAAAACCGAATTAAGCCAATCCAAAGGCAAGTCGGTGCTGCCAAAGAAAACAAAACCGTAATGAATGCTTCTGCTGCCAAGAGCTTGTTGACCAACAAAATGCAACGACAATGAGAATGCCATGTCAGTTAGTCTTATTCACTTTAACTTAGATTGGGGCAACAGTCGAAGAGGCTAAATGCCAGCAAGTAACAGAATCATCTGGCCACTGCAACTCATCTAATTAATAAAATTCACACCGGGACACCAAGCGAATTGGAAGACCAGAAGACCATCAAAGGACCATGAAATCCTGCAGGCGATTTGCAATTCCACTTCCTGACCGACGGAAAAACTTATGCAACGTGAATAAAACAAAGGCATAAACAGCCAGGGAAAAACAGTGATGGCAAATTCTATTTCTAAGGAAAAAAACAAGTAAACTTTACCTGAGGGTCAAAGAAATTTTTTTGGATTTTTATCTCCGCTAGTGTCAGTATAGTGTATAATTGTTTAAAGTTTTTAAATTGTTTGACAAATTTTTTGTTAAATATTGATAATACTTTTGGTTGTGTTAAAAAAAATCTTCCCATCACTGGGGAAATCAGTATTTTAGAAAGCTTTTAATTCATTTGGTTCGTTTGATCCTGCAGCTCATTTAAATTGATATATTATTCAAGCAATGGCCATCCACACAGTTATCCAAGCTATTAGCAATTTATATTAATGAATGTGAATGTTGGTTTTTGTAAATTTAAGATTTATATATTAGTATGATCCTTACAGTTCTATAAGACATTTCTTTAATTTAACACACGGTTCAGTACTGTTTTGGGTATTTACCCATCTTAATTTGTTTTCATTTAAAACAAATAAATTTGAAGACCAAACCAATGCTTTAGACGGCCTTCAATTGATTTAATTGGTTCGTTTTATCCTTCAGCTCATTTAAATTGATAAATTATTGATTGGTAGGGCGACTTTAAGCAATGGCCATCAACACAATTATCCAAGCATTCAGCAATTAACAGCTCTTAATGCAAGCACTCGAAGCATGAAAGAAAAAACAATTAAGTTTCTTTTGTGGCTCAAGTCTTGAAAGGGCGTGAAAGCCCGAATCCTGGGAAAGCACTCGATGCAGCTGGCTGGCCTGGAACAGCTGCCAATTCGCATCGTTTTCGGTTTCGGAGGAACGGAAGATGCCCTTAAAGAAGCTGCCTGCTTAATTGCTTGTTGGCTTTCCACTGGGTCCTATCAGTGTCAGTTGCAGGCATCGAGAGTCGACAGTCGACGGCAGGCAGCTTTATTCTTTTTATGTCATTAACAACGGCACGAACTTACTTGCAATTTTCGTGTTAAATCGCGCGATCTGTCTGCATTTTGTCGCCTTGTGCAATTCATATTTTAATTTAATTCATTTAAGCTTTCCGCCTGCCTTCTTGACTTTTCCATGGCATTCCGCTGTTAATTGTATATTGGCCAACACGTTGATGCCTTAATAAATTTTCTCATTTCGCCTTCAGCCTTTAAAGGATAGTTTGCCAAGACCTTTGACCTTTTCGCATGTCAGCCATTTAATTATTCAAACACGCATTACGTATACGCACTGACTGACTGCCCGCAGACCAACATTTGTCCGCATTCACACAGGCATCAAGTGAAGAGAAAGCGAATCAGCATGGATGAAATCAATTAGACAAGACCCATTAATGCCAGCACAAGCCGAACCGTCTAGGAAACTGTTAATTAATCAAATGTTGGCCATCACTTTGTACACATGCGCGGATTCATAGTGTTTTTCGTTGCAGAGATAGCACTCCGTGGGAAAAAATCCTCGGTAACTAAAATTTAATTGGCTGATTCCATGTTCTGGAAGTACTTTTTTGCGGGCAACGAAATTAGAAATAAATTATCAGAAAGGTCAGGCAAAACAGGCTAATAACATGTGTACTTTCTGTTTATTAACAGTATTCGTAGTATTAAAAAATTAAAAAATTAACAAGACATAATTTTAATGTGATCTGCCGATTTGGTCATAGGTTTAAAATTATACTTTTTTTTGACAAAAATTTAAAAAATTAGCTACAATACTCTGTATTAAGGTTAGGCTTTTGCTTTTTGGCAACGATGAGAGTTTTTGGTTAAGAAATCAAGATGATTTTTTCAGAAAACAAAGAAAGCACTTTGTTGCAACGTTTTTTGTCCAGTATAAAAGCACTTCACATCCAACGTCGATTTCCAGGTGAACCAGGCTTTTTCCATTTTTTGAGGCCACAATTTAGCTCTTTGATGCCCGACTGCAGCCTGCAGTTGATAGTTGATGATGACGACAACGAGATGCTGGACTTAACGCTGTTATGCCAATGTCCTCGTTCAAAGTTCCATCCGGCGGACACTACATAAGGCCCCGGGCAAATCAAAAGCCAAAAGAACACGGAAAGGCCAGGAAAATGCTTTCAGCGAACGGTGGAGATTTTGATGCAATTAACCAGCGCGGTCAACAGCTCGCAGTGTGTGTGTATGCTATGTAATTACACTTTGACCACTCCCCAGAGGAGCTTTAACTGTGTTTACCTCTTCAGGTTTCATTAAACTCGTACATTTTTTTTGTTGTTGCCCAGAATCCAGGTCCCAAGTCCCAAGCCCAAATACAAATACAAATACGGCGGCCGTCGGCTTTGGCATTCAGTTAACATCACGGACAACAGGGCGAATGCGCGATTTCCCTTTTTTTCATTTCCTGCTTTACCCTCAAGTGCTTAACTCGTTTTAACCTCGTTTCGCTGATGTAGCCCGGCATTGTTGCTGGTGTTTTCTGCAGGTGCTGAAGCCTGTTTTGGACTTTTTGTTTTTATGCAGGATGCTTCATTTGCTCTACCCG